CTTTTCCTTTTGCTTGTATCCTCGTGTCGATCGATTGACGTTGACGACAGCTCATACACTTCCATAGAGGAAGTTACATTATGTGATAGCGTGGTAGTTTAAGGTGATCTCAGAAACAGGAAGACGAAAAAATGATTATTTCGCACTTGCAAAAATACATTCCATTTCGCATATTTTGCATTTTTTGCGAAACACTAACTGCCAAGAATATTCGTGTCTGAAAGTTGATTGTGAGTTGGTGGTTTGCAAGAATTGAACACAACCAACATGGTATTGGATATAGCAACCTGATTATAGTCCAGTCGCATGGTGTGATACAGTGGTTGTGCAACACAACACCCAGATATTTGTAGTGTTGAACACGACGAATCTGTTGTTCGTGTAGCATCATATCAATTGGTAATTTGGAATCAAAGTGCTGTGACCACGGAAACTGAGTATGTTGCATTTGACTACACCAAAACTTGTTTGGCATTGTTCCATTCATTGTGCAAGTACACCAGATGCCAACTGGAGTGATTGATCAGAGTCGGCAAATATCACGATATTGTCGACATACATGAATCCTCACATTGATGGTGATTTACACAATACTCATGCAATGACAATCGGTTGATACCATCGTGTGTGTCATTGATGAACATGTTGAACAACAATCCGACAGTGGATATCACTGCCGGACTCCATGTTCAATTGGAAATGGACCAGAAACCAATGATCCAGTCTGAGCATGAGCTGATGAGCATGTGTGCAGTGCTGTTAGCAAGACCAGTGTGCGTGGTGTCAATCACATATGCTGCAGTTATCATATCAAGGCACCAACCGTGACAGTGTCGAATGCATTTTGAATGTCAATCAACACAACAATAGTATTGGGCTGCACGCACTGCTGTCATTGAACAATATCGACTAGTGAACCAACCAGCACAACACACTTGTTTGGTTTGAAATCGACCATGTTCGGTGGTGACGAGTTTGTTGAGCACCACGATCAATCAATGTGTGTTTGCAAGACCTTGCATACCAGTTTATGACACACATCAATCAGTATAATACCGTGTTTGTCGTTTGTATCAATGTGATCACCGTTATTGTTGTCGATATATGCAATCAGCACAATGGGTACAGTGTATGCAGACTGCCATCAGGTTGCATAGTGGCCGTCAACATATTGACTGAACTGTGTGTAGCAGGACACGAGCAAATGGATTGGGTGGTTCATCAGGTGTAGCATCATTT